ATCCTCGAGGAAGGGAATAGCGTTCCGTGAATTTCGTAGATTCACAGAATGTCCCTGCCGTGTTTACAGCTGGAAAGAATTCCATAAAGTTGCCAAAGCGATAGGCAGGCATCCCGTGTTTCGTCCGATGAACGAGAATTCCCTTTTACAGACGAGATGCTGGAGTGCGAGACCGGATCCCTGTTAGGCCGAGTCGCGGACCTCGAGAGGCAATCCTTGGCGCAGAGGGACGAGATAGTTTGTCTTCGCGCTACTCTCGCGGATGCGCTCAGGCGAATTGCCCAGCTGGAAGGACGCGAGAAACGGGAGGACGAGAGAAACGAGAGGAGGAACGAGAGGATGGTGTCCTCGCCCTTAAGGAACGGACACGTATCGCTTAGAAGTGAGTACACACGTGGAGGATGAACATCCTTATGCGAATTCTTCCTTGCTTTTTTCCACGAATAATTTTGCATGCTGAGTTCTGCCCGAGGCAGGATTCGTGTCATACGTGGGAACACTCTCGATGGTCGACTGTTAACACTGCAACTACCGGTATGTAACGCGTGTCTAAATACAGTGTACACGGGTGAGGCTAATTAGCTTCTCGCGCTACGAATTAATTGTGAAAAATTCGGCGTTGAAGACGTATAAAAGGTACAGAATGTATAAAAATTATGTCACGATCGCCATAGCAGGATTCTACGTCTCTAGATCGGTGGAGATTTGCGAGAGAGAGGAGATTTCCGCAAAATTAACCTTCGCTATATTTTTAAGACTGACTAGGTAATTTTTTTTAATGATTTCGTTGTTTTATACTCATCGAGATGGACAACGTTGTTTAAGGAAGCATAGATCGATGATCGATCTTTGGATTGGTGGAGATTTGCGAAAGAGATTTCCGCAAAATTGACCTTCGCTATATTTTTAAGACTGACTAGGTAATTTTTTTAATGATTTCATTGTTTTATACTCATCGAGATGGACAACGTTGTTTAACACTAGGTTTACGGACGCTATCTGTATATCTATTTCTATATATTTGACAGCTGTCAAATTGACAGTTAAAGAAAACCACGCGTCTTTTTTTTAAGGATTAGTTCAATTTAAAAACAATTACAATATTGACAGTCTTAATATAAGTTAACTAAATCTGTTACCATCGTATAATTGGAGCAACCTGTCCGTCAAATTGACGGGTTTCGTAAATCTAGTGTTAAGGAAGCATAGATCGAAAATCGATCTCTGGATCGGTAGAGATTTGCGAAAGAGAGAAGATTTCCGCAAAATTGACCTTCACTATATTTTTAAGACCGACTAGGTAATTTTTTTTAACGATTTCGTTGTTTTATATTCATCAAGATGGACAACGTTGTTTAAGGAACCATAATTCGAAAATCGATTGTTCTCTCAGTGAATAATGTACAGCTTCATTTAAATACTTTTTCTCCATTTGAAACTTCAGTATAATTATGTATATATATTGTTCTCTCAGTGAATAATGTACAGCTTCATTTAAATACTTCTTCTCCATTTGAAACTTCAGTAAAATTATGTTTTTTTCAGTATAATTATGTATATATTTCTGAAGGTAAATTATTGTACAATTTTTCGACGAAAGGTTCGACAAAGCAGATTTTTTTATGTCAAATGTAAAGATATGACAGTCATTCGACGAATAGAAAACGAAATAATTATACAGAAAAGAATAGTTAGGATCAATTTTGTGACAAGAATTTTTCGTAAATCTTCACCAGTCCAGAGGTGTAAAATCGTGCTATAATTTTCGTTGTGATATAATTTTTATGCATCCTTTACATCTGCAATGGAACATCGATCATTTATTCTTACTTTCGTTGATTTCAAGGCCACTTTTGTATTTTTAAATAATGTTTTTTGAATGATTTTAATATTTACGAAGTAATATGAAATAATATAATTTTTAGAAAGTGTTCTGTCAGATGTATTCCTTGTTCTTTTAGTAACCTTCCTAAGTAGCCAAGACCATAAGTCCAGTCATCACTTCGAGCATGTCCTGTAACATAAGTCTCTTTGTTTTTCGCTGATGTCCATTATCGAACAACCTTGTATCAGAGATTCTTCAAATCATTTGGATGCTCTGTGTTTCACTAGAAATAGAAAATTATGGCATACCAAGTAAGAAAATGAAGCCTTGAAATTCTTCAGAACCCCCCATTTATAAATAAAAAAGAATTATAATTTGCATGTTTCAGTTTTCCTTCTCGTCCATGTTATACAATTTTGTACGTAAAATTTTTTGATACTCGATATGAAAGAGATAAAGCAGATGTACAAGGTGATCAAAATTATTAGCCCACCATGTATAATTAGGTATATCTCTATCTAAATAAAACTCAGTGTTAAATATGCTAGAAGAAACTGCATGTTTCCAATAATTTCAGAAATAAAAATCCAGAATCAGCCATTTTGACTGGTTTCGCACTTCCTGTGTTGAATTTCGACGAGATAATAATAGTATTGAGAAAAATTTCACCACACATACCTAATCTTGTAACCTTTTTGTGACGTGTGTATATTATCAAGTGTAATAAATATATAATTGTTAAATAACAATCTCACAATTATAAATGAAAGAAAACTTCGTATCTAGAATGAGACTACATTCTTATTTATGGTGCCACGTTGATTTCAAGGAAGCACTGAGGTGCCTCATTAGCTAATGTTGTTAAATTCTTTCAAAGAGGAAGATTAAGTTTCTTAATCATCAAAGACTAGATTGCTGATCAATCTAATCAGCCTCATTCCCACAGTGCTTTGCGCTGTCAAATGACTTTCCAGTCTGTGACTGCTAGTAAGAAGCAAAAATAAAAATTATTTTTCTTTTCCTTCTTCGACAACGAATTTTATATTGAGTCAGTAAATGGGTCATTAAGAACGAAAGTGTCTTATCTTCTTTTGAACGTATTTCTTCATTCCCTAGTGGCTAGATTTGGTGGCACAGATAATTTTATATTGAGTCAGTAAATGGGTCATTAAGAACGAAAGTGTCTTATCTTCTTTTGAACGTGTTTCTTCATTCCCTAGTAGCTAGATTTGAGTTTTGTTTGCCAGTGTTTGTTTGGTAATTAGCGTGTCTTCCAAGGTCATGTCTGGTTTGAGTTTATGCTTCCGTCTCTGTGTATAAAATCTTCTACACTCGTATAACAGATGACCTTCATTTCGTTATTGTTAAAGTTACATCACGACAATTTCGCTTTCTATGTACTCGCGAATTATTTTGCAGTGGTCACTTTTACGTCTGGTCATTTTATCTTTCCTCTGTTGGGCAACGTCAAATAGATTTCGTTGTGATATGCCGGAGACAAAAATGCTTAGGTTGGTACGAGTGAAGGGGAAAATATTCCTTTGTCTTAGAAGCGACGAAATGACCGTTCGATGAATGAGAACGTGTCTGCAATAATAAATATTCGATGATCCCGAATGACCTTCTCTGGTGCCATTTTGAAATTGTTTCAATAACAACTATCACGTGGTAAAACCGATGCAAGAAATTTCATTAAGAGATCCAATTCCATTGGATTACCTTGAAATCTCACGTTTAGTAATATAGGTTAGGTTTATGTAGTCTTGAAGCAATGAGAACTTCTCTTCCTTTCATTCTGTTCCTAAAATAAAAGAAAAAGGAAAGAAAAAGGGAAAAAGTTATACAGTAGAAAGTATTCGAACGTTATATTTCAAAAGAATTCTCCAACTCGACTCTGATTTTAATGAAAGATTGCGTGCAAATAAAGTATAACGAGTTACGCATGCAATAATTTTTTCGTTGGCTGAAAATGACTATGAGATGGTAAAATCATCGACTGAAGTTTCAACAATATTTTTTATTATTAAAAGGGACCTCACGCGAAGAAATTTTTACTACAGAGTGACAGGGCACCAAGAGTTAAATATTTTTTAATCGAAGAATTTTTCTTTGTCTTGCATTGTTATATAGTTACATTAAAAAGAAAAAAGAAAGAAAAAGAAAAACAGGAATCGTACTTGTAACTTTGAGTAACGATTTCACACACCTGAAGTAATATCTGCAAATAAAAAAATTAGACCATGTGTAATTCGTTATGCTTTACGCGCACACATACTTCGATTAAATTCAGAATTTTCGAGTTATAGAAAATCTATATTAGAAGATTATAGTAAATCTAGATTATAGTAAATAGTTTCTTAAAATTTGTATATCATTCGAATACTTTCACGAGCCACTGTACGTTTGCAGTAATAGGTTAGGTTCGTATTGGTGAAGTAATATCTGCAAATAAAAAAAAATTGTACCATGTGTAATTGGTTATGCTTTACACACATGCATACTTTGATTGAAATCAGAATTTTAAAATTATAGTACTCTCTTAAAATTTGTATAGTATTCTAATATTTAGCGAGCTTGTGTACGTTTGCAGTAATAGGTTAGGTTCGTATAGTTTTAAAGAAGATCGGAGCTTCTCTTCTCCTCGCTCCTCGATTCTACTATTCAATGTCGTATCAACCGGATTGTCAGAGGTAAAAAGTAAAGTAGAAAGGTAAAGAAGGAAATAAAAGAAAGGCTTAAAGTTTCCTGTGTAATTCGATATACCTTAAATACCGTGGCAATGCTCGTATCGATTTCATGTCCTCTAAATTGTCCTTCAAACTGGATTCTACATCGAACTATTATCTTAAAAGACGTGTTTCCTGCAATGCAGGATACGTGTTCCACTGTTAATGCAGTCTACACAACCGGCGCGTAGAGTCTTCTTAAATAACGAGACGTTGAGGTTAGAAAGTCAAAGTTTTATTCGATTCGTAACAAGTGAAATTAAACTGGTACGCGTTTGTAGCTTGTTATTGTGCTTCCACGTAATTTTATTCAATAATTGCTATCTCCAGCCATAATGGAGATTAAAATCCTCGAGTACAGCGCTGCTTTCTTCAGTGAAAGGATTTATAGGCGATAAAACTGGAGTAATAAATACTCGGAGGCTGCGTGCACGTGAATATTGATCGAACATTAATCAACGCAAAATTAATATCTAATAAGGAAATTACGGAGAATGCCAAAGAAAGTTTCAGTCGTAAAGGCTGATTTAATGCGTTATGAGGAATCGAAGTGGGTAAACGCTGGAACGTGTCGATCACTGTGAAACTAAGTAGTGACGACTGGTGATTAAGATAACGATCATACGTATCGAACGAAATTATTCAACGCGATTTACAACGTGATTAGATGCACCGATTAGAGTAAAACGAAATGTGTAATTTTAGATGTTGGTTAACGTTAATTGACATTGCACGTGTTGAAGGAACATTTTATTTCAGAAACACAGGAAATTATGAGAGTTACAGTCTGATATTTATGAAATACGTAATTTATTTCTTACCTACTGTTTGTTGCGATTGATATAAGGAAATTCGAATTTCTTCTGGAATAGTTAGAAATTTAAGAGTACTCTTGCGAGCATAATTTAATCAGAAATTTAAAAATAAATTTGACAATTTGCACGATTAAAAATTTATTTTTCATTTGAGAATTTACTTTACATTTTTTTTAATTTATTTCGTTTTTAAAGTTTCGAATTGATGATAATCTCTAAAAAAAAATTTAGATCAATAAATTATCAAGTATTATGAGATAATGTCCATTGAAATTATATAACAGATTTAACTAAACCAAAATATTCTTTCACACGAACTATATTGAAAAAATTGAAATGATTCCAAAAACGATTTTTTAAAGAATTTAATAATTATTCATTTATTTTACTCACATGCACGTATCAAAATTTGTATTACAAAATCTTTTAATAAAATTAATCAGGTTCGTCGTATTAATCAAATTGATAAAGTCAATAAAATTAGGAAAACTAATGGACTAATAGAATGAAAAATTGCAGAAAATTAATTATTTATATCATGCAAGTATATACGAATGCTCCATGTTAAACGAGCACGATTTACGATTCGCATTATATCGAAACCGCATTTTGAATGCATTATTCAGGGTTTAATCGTAATTCTCAAAGAATTTGAAAATCATTTTCTCTACATATAATTCCTCGCCATCCATAATCTTAGTACTCGAAAGGAGCTTTGTGAGTTCTGAAAGAGATAATAATGGTCTAAAAAGTAAATACAAAGGATATGAGAATTTCTTGTTTCACGGAATTATTACCTATGGAACTCTTTATTAATTATTTCAATATAAGCGCATAGGAAATTGAAACTCCACAAATTCATTGGTAATTCTTCATTTTGTTTTTCTCAGGTCCAATGAAACTTCCTTCGATTTATCTTTCGTTCGTTAGTAAATGGTATTTCTTCGTGACCTGTTTACAAAGCAAACCGAGGCGTGGCAAATCGTGCATGGCTGAAGACGTCAATCAATTCGAATAATTAGTGTTTGACGTTTTATTACTTTCGCATGCAACGGGGTGCAGTTGGTCAATTACCGATTTACGATACGATTGAACGAAAGTGGTAGAAATATTAAAGGTGAACTCTTGTTGCTCATGAGAATGCTATTCGTTACTAGATAAACTGGGATAAAATAAACCTCATAAATCGTCGGTAGAGATAATTCTTTCTCGGATATTTTTATCAGAGATTTTAAGATGTTTTATATATAAGGAAACTTTTACATTTATAACATAGATAGATACACGTATAAATTTGTATACATTTATATTCTCTAACATAGTTACTGTTCTCAAAAACTAATCATATATTCTAATAAAATTTTATCGATATATTAAAAAATTTATGAAGAATAAAAATACATAAGTACATGTATCACTTATGATATGCAGAATATATCATTTGAAATTTATTATCGATACGTTTGGTAATGCATATGTGTGTATAATTGAGCTGTTCACTGCACAAATCGATTAACTCCACTTTTTGAAAAATCTTAAATTTAAGTGTCAAAACACTTGGTATAGTCATAACTTTTTATATTTATAATAACTTTCCCTGATAATTAAGATTAACACCATTAAACGACAAAAATTTCTTGGCCACTGAATAATAAATAATTTATTTCAGAGGTTACTTTGATTAACTCCGTACTCTAATGTAAATCGTTGCAATAATGCAACTCAAATGCACTAGCAAGCCAGGAATGATAACGGTGAATTTTTTAGTGCCATCTTATCAGAATTTAAGTAAAATTTAGTAAAATTTAAATTTATTACTTTTTCACTTGCCAAATAAATTAACTCTTCCAGTGACATAAAAATGGTAACATTACTAACGATTGCCTTTTGGCTATTTTTTCTTATAAATTTTATATACCGTTAGATGAAAGTTGCATTTGTATTTATGCATTCCACGATATTTATTTCGATTTAAATTATAAAGGGAATTTTAAAAAACTATATACATTATTTCATTGCATTTCTCCACTTTTTGTTTTACGGAGTTAATCAATTTGTGCAGTGAACGGCTCAATTATAAATTGATGTATAAGATTAAATATACAAGTATGCATATATGTATGTAAATCAGAAAATTAATCAATTGTTCAACGAATACTTTTTTCGATTCCGTATTGAATTATTTTCCAAGGATTCGCAATAAATAATTTTCTTTTAATTTCAATATATGTCGACCCAAATATTGAATAAATTTATGGAATATAAATAAAAATTTCAAAATTGAAAAGTGAAAATGGCTAATTAATATCATTAAGATATTCATTTTTTATATTAATTATTAGTCTTATGAAAAATCAGTACGTATTTTGAAGCTATTAGATTACTTAAGGCTTGGAATTTGATCAGCATAATTCAATTCTTACATGAACCAACACTTTCGAGTCTTGACTGCCCTCATACGTGTCAACCTCACCTTTATTATAGTCTCAATTCAATTAGTTCAAGTACTCTAGACATACTTCGCGTACATAACACTCGTTCACATACCTTTTGAAACTAAAAGTCTTCTGAATATGTTATTCTAAACATTTCTGCTGCACATTTTTTGCAGTACAAGCAAGTATATACATAACGTTGAATATTTAGAACGCAGGTTATCTAAAATTCAAATTTAAAATGGCAAAACTCTGTTTACTAGATTGGATTCATCTGGGTTTAAATTTAGGTTAGGTTTTAATTAGATATAGGTTAGGTATAGGTTAAGCTCGAGTAGGTATAGGTTAACTTTAATTTAAGTTCAATTCAATACGCAAATATAGAGCAAATTTTCCAATAATATATGGCAATATATCAATATTAATTAAAAAATTTATTTAAAAAAAGAAGGGACATAATAGAATAATGATTTACAGTACTATAATTAGAATTACTATACCGAAATTATAAGCTTTTTTCTTAATATTATATTATGTCGTGTTAATTTATTTAATATTAATTAAAAAATTCGTCTTTTATTCTAAAGTTTTTTCGCTGTATATTTTTATTTTTAATAAAATAATGAGCCTTTGAAAAATATTAAGGATCCCCAATATGTAATATAAATTATAAATGAATAACGAATTAACTACAAAAATAAGTCGTTATTGATATAGATTTAAGTAACAATCACAAAAATAAACTCAGAAACGAAAGAAATTCAAGGCCATCGATGAAACCCATTTCATCAGACCTAGACGTTCCAGATCGATCTTCGCGAATTTCGGTGAACAGCGATTACCATGTCGAAGTGAACTACAGAAGAGAAAGGAATGATATAAATTTTCGAGACACGAAGGATCGTATTGCAGCAGGGAATTTCAAAGTTTCGAGGCAATCGTTACGAAAGCCGTCGAGGCACGTCGCGAATCGCAGATACGAGGAAGCCTCACGGGGCTGAGCCCATTTGAAACAAAGTTCATCGGGTGTACCTGTTAGCACGCGACTGCTTAGGGTCACGTTCCGTTTCCTTCGCGTTTCATCGAGCAATTGGTGCACTTGGGGCTGAATTCCGGGCTACTGGTTCCTCTATGAAACCACTGAGCATAGGAATTCACACATTTTTGGGGGGTTAAATTATTCTCACGGCTAAAAATGGTCGAAAAATTTCGCGAATTACCTTTGGAAATTTAAACACTTATTTAAAAATTCGTATCTTGTTTGTCGGAATTATTTCTTAATTTTTTCATTTGCCATTCTTAGACGTGGTGTCATTTATAAATTTGCTTTCCTGAAAAATTTAATCGATTGAAAAGTATAGCATAAGGATTTTCATATCGAATTATTAACACGAAAATGTCTGTAACGAAATAAATTATGCATAAAGTATATGCTAAAATATTATAAAATTAATATTCGAATGAAATTACTTGATACTTATAATTTACTATTTATTATTTGTAATTTATGTGTGATGTTAATTTATGGAACGTGATTTAAAGTTAATGCAATTAAAATAAAAGGAATTAATGATTCGTTAATTAATTATAGTTGTTTATAAATTTATGTAAATATTTTATTTCTTCAAAATGAAATGGTATTATTACACTGTTAATATTCTATTTCGACAGCTAATCAAAATTCAGTGCCCCAGAAAGACATACGTTTACGTCAAACTGGTACTTCTTGCCTGAGGAATTCATCTTCCTCAGGATCTTCACAAGATGTGAGAGATTCAATCTCCAGTCCACGAAGACCAGTCAGTTACACGCATTCGTCACAACTTCCTCAAAGGTATTATCTTCTACTTTTTCATATTTGAATTTGCATATTTATATTTTAAGCTTATATACAAATTTATGAATTAAGTATATTAAATAAATAAACTTATTAAATTTATTTTACATATACATATATCTATATATATATATATTTGATTTTAGTTTATATATTTATGTAAACCCCATTACAATATTTTCATTTATTTTATTTTTATTTTTCAAGATTAATATATTTATATTAATCAAGTTTTATACATACGAATAGAAAAAGAACGATTAAAAATTTTATATATACATATATCTATATATATATTTGATTTTAGTTTATAAATTTATGTAAACTTCAGTACAATATTTTCATTTATTTCTTTTCATTTTTTAAGATTAATATTTTTATACATTCAAGTTTTATACTTACAAATAGAAAAAGAGCGATTAAAAATTTATTAAAGTCGAAGTAAATTTTTGAAATTTTTAAATTCGCGGTGATCAAATATTATATTAGAAGATATAATATACTTATTTCTCTATCTTTTATATTTTTAATGTTAAGTAATTTAACCATTTGTTTTTCGCAACGAGAGAAAGGTGAGAAATTACTGTCATTGAATTTAATGACAGAAATAATGGAGAAAGAATTAGTATTCTCACATTTACTGCAGTAATAATCAGTATACTAACGCTTCCTCGGGAACCTTGAGACATGTTATTTTACTAGAGTTGCAACTATCTTCATTAAGGTTTATGAACACGGCGATGCAATAACGTAGATGTGCAATAAAGCATATTTTAGTATCAGAGTGCCCTCACATTGCAAATGAAGATAGTTAGAATGTCAATAAAATGTCAGAATCATTTCTCAATAGAATATTCAAGATATAAGTTCATTATAATAAACGTCATATCAGCTTATTTACTTAACAGCTTATTTACTTGTGTCTAAAATAATATTTTAACAACTGTTGCATCTAATTATTTTAATACATTATTTATTCGTACTAATGCAAGAAAGGAAATATATAGGAAGATGAAGTATCGGTATATAAAGAATTACACGATAAAATTTTGAAACTTAATAATAACTTGTAGAATAATGAAATAGTACGTAACACGGTATAATATCAAAATTTAAAAAAAGGAGTCAAATGAAAATTCTTTTATCTCAAAAATAAAGAAAAATATTAGTGATATCTGCAGCGCTAATTTTAAATTAATACTAAACTAAATTATAATTATTTCAAATTTCAAATATATAGATTTCTTGTAATCCAAGACTAAAATAATTTACACTCGTTAATAATTTAATTCTATAATTTTTTCGAACCCTTACTATATCACTATAAATGCTAGAATTTATAGATAAAACTTAGGATTCAGCAATTTTCGGCTACTTTTATAATAACACGTACACTTGCACTAAAAAATTTGGATTTACTTGGGATCTTTCATTCGATAAAAAGCCATACCTCTACAAGTGACATGATGAACACAAATAAAAATAACAAGAAAATAATAATCATAATTAATAAACACAGAATCTTATCTTACTTTCTAAGTAAGAAATTTGTATATACCCTAAGTTTTGAAGCTATGAAAATATCATTAGTAAACTCTTGATAATTGCTCATGGTCAAAGATGTTAATGCAACCTTGAATAAACGAAAAAATTGAAAACACGAGGAAAACCGTTGTTTGCATTTTAATGTACTCTAACTTAAATCTGTTAATCTGTCTGTAATAGATGAAGCAAATTGAATTTAACTTTCAGAAGGTCAGTTCATTACCAATCAACGGGTTCGTTACACTCGGACAGTCCCAGTAGTAGTAGTGTTTCCCCGGTGCCATCGCCAAGTCCTAGAGCCACGCCACTGCCAGTAGCCAGGTACATGTCTTCAAGTTAAATTAATGCACTTTCTATTCGATGTTCCTTCATATTTTTTCTTTCTTTATTTTTAATCTGACTAATGTTACCGGTAGCTTTGTTTATCTTCGACATAGAAAGTGAGTAATTCGTAGTTTAATAAATCATGGTGATATTTTAAAGATGTTGAGTAAGGCAACGTACATGCATATATGTTGTTCTTCTAACGAAGATTAATTGTTAAGGATATTACGAATCCGAGTATTTCTTATTGTTATATCTGCATGTTCATAAATCGAGTAGAGATTTATCGATATGTCTGCTTAGAATTCAGCATTTGCTTACACTCGACTTTTTGTAAGTGAATTTCTAATCGTTTGATTATGGTGAAGTTGAAGAATCGTGGTTTTTAGTAGTTAGTTGTAGAAAATTGAAGACGACGTGTTTGTACAATTTTTGATATCCTGCATCGTGTTATTTTATGAAGTAATTTTACGAGGCATGAGTGTTTTAAATGACAGGTAGTAGAAGAAACTTGTTTAATATTTAATATTATTTTTATTAATACAGACTAAATTTATATTTAATTCACAAACTCTCTAAACAGCTATTTGTAATTAAATACTGCCCTTTCCTTGCCTGATGAAAAGTACTAGACTCGTTAAATACTATTTATTTATACAATACGTATGTTTATTCATATTGTTAAAATTGTTAAGATTTCATTACTTAGATGAACTATAAATTTTGATATTACTAATTATAACGAATTAATTAATTTTATAAGATACATTACTCTTATTGTTGTTATTAACATTAATATTATTTATTGGAAGTTTTTCATCACATGTTTTTAACAAATATTTAACAAAATATGCATGATAAATTGCAAATGTTTAATGAAGCACTATTTATTGTTTTATTTAAGAAAATGAGGTTCAATGTTAACTATATTAAAAGCAATTTAATATTATAATTTTATTTTTTTATTTTATTTTATTTTATTATTAATATAGAAACTATAATTTTTATTTTTATGCTGCAATACATTCAGTGAAAAAATATAAATTAGCACAAACATTTAAAGATAATATATAAGTAAGTAACAATTTAACAATCAATAAATATTTTCAATTTACATTAATCTAATCAGATATAAAATGTCTATTCCAAATAACTCTTTATTCTGTAATAAATTAAAATTTTTACACGTAGTTATTAAATTAAATTATTACTGCAGTAAAAATCTCGTAAAGAAAATGTATTTTATAAAAATATGAACATTAAATTTCCTCGTTAAAATCAAATAAATTGAATATTTTTAATTAATCTTAGATATTTCATATATATATACGAGCCAATTATAAACGATATATTTCTTATTTATTACCAATAACTACTACTATAACATGATACCTAAAACTACACCGACATCAATAAATAAATCATCAACGAAACGAATCATCCCTATCCCCACGAAATTGCACAACACCCTCGTCACCGTGGAACCAGCGAAATTAAACCATCAACCCCATTCGAGCAAATAACCAACGAGGTTGTCACAGAGCAAAACGCTCGTTTTGAAGAATTTCATTTAACTCTGTAAATCGAATCCCGTTGACGAAGTGACAGGTCATCCGCAATGCAGGTAACGAGCTTTCTCGTCACAGAGTAATCCTGTTATTCGATAGATCACCAACAGCAAGATCAAACGGGCCACCCCAAAGCAGCTTAAGAAGGGCGAAACGGTGGTCGTCGACAGGGGACTTTACGCATTCCCCGCAAAATCAGGGAAGCAATTCGCAACTTGTCAGTAGCAGGTAAGCAGAGAAAAAACGATGTTATTAACGAGCGAGTGCACATTTGCCTGCTTTCGTGATCTCCCTCTTATTTACACGCCGGCTCGAGTTCCAACCCTCTCTCTGAGCGCAGCTTTTCGCTTCTTTGAACGTTTTATGTTACGGTGACGTGCTCTTTTTCTCCGTTTTTCCTCCTTCTTCCCCGATGAATGAAAGTGACGGCTAAAACGGGAATAGAAACGCCTCTAAAACGCGTTTTTGCGTTAAGTTCGCGGAATTATCCGAGTGCAATGTTCTCTTCGAACGATTTAACAGTCATGCTGAGCGATTATCGGAGCCCCGAGGAAACGTTTGTTTCTCGTTTTCGGTACAATCAGGCTATTAAGCGTTTAATGCTCGCTTTTGTATGCTCGTCGTGTGTGTTTCGGACACGTACACGCGTTTGTTTGTAAGTATCAGAGCAGCTGATTAGCCAGATTAGATTTTTTCGGAGTAGATGCTAATGGTTTGTAGAAATTATTTATAAAAGTTGGAAGAAAATAACGAACCTGTGATTGAGGCGTCAAGAGAGAAAGTTGGTAGGTGGAAATGTCCCTAATTTGGAGAAACTGGTACCCGTGAAGTTGAATTTTAATAGGAAAGTCTGTTTGTTGAATATTCGGAAAATTTGCTATATACGTTTACCGATAAAAGTTAAGCAACAAAATAATGATTCGCGAATTTTTGTGTATTCGTTATCTTTCAGCATATGTAGATTAGAATTAAGAATAGGCTTTGGATAAGATATTTGAAGAAATATTTATGTGTAATATTTTAATACTCGAAGCTTCTTTCCCACCGCATATTTTTTCACGTAAGATGAAAATAACAATTTAAAACAATCGCTAAAAATCGCTGAAAGTCTTTCATTACATAGATTTCAAAGTGAAAATATTTAGAAGAAATCAAATATCCATACATTAAATATATTTACAAAATAGTAATTCTCATTAAATTGATTTCAAAACTGAATATATTTAGAGAAAATCGGATACCACTATATTAGATATATCTACGAACTAATAAATTGAATTTAAATTCATTTTATTCTTATTTTTCTTAATTACTCTCCAACAGTCTTCAAACAAGATTTATTCCTTTCAAACTTCTGATATATTCACCGTTTTACTTCTACAAACCTAATATATATTAGAAAACAACTCTCCAAAAACGATAAATTTTACCAAGAAAAATTCTCATTAAATTGATTTCAAAACTGAATATATTTAGAGAAAATCGGATACCACTATATTAGATATATCTACGAACTAATAAATTGAATTTAAATTCATTTTATTCTTATTTTTCTTAATTACTCTCCAACAGTCTTCAAACAAGATTTATTCATTTCAAACTTCTGATATATTCACCGTTTTACTTCTACAAACCTAATATATATTAAAAAACAACTCTTCAAAAGCGATAAATTTTACCAAGAAAAATTCTCATTAAATAGATTTCAAAACTGAAAATATTTAGAGAAAATCAGATACCACTATATTAGATATATCTACGAACTAATAAATTGAATTTAAATTCATTTTATTTTTATTCTTCTTAATTACTCTCCAACAAAATTATTCCTTTCAAACTTCTGATATATTCCCAGTTTTACTTCCATAAACCTAATACATATTACAAAATAACCGTTCAATTTTCACTTTTAAAAAATACTTTACAGTTGAAAACCAGAATATATCATAAAACAACCCTTCTAAAACGATCAATTTTCCGAATAAAAGTTCTCACTAGATAGCATTAAAAGCGAGAAACACTTGAAAGTTGAAAACCAGATGATTTTACTTCCTCGCAAAATCGCTTTCAACTATCCCAGACAACTATTCCTACCACCTCTAACTTCACAGATCCAAACTCAAAGGTAAGTGTCACCTGCCGCTCGTTGTACCAAGCAGAGCAACGGACTATCGATTATGTCTCGCGACGTGAATAAACTTCACAGCTCATTAATCATCAAAAGCGTGTAACTGTCTCCCGGTCGCTTTCCATTCGCCCGAGCTTCCCTTTGGTAGCTACTGAATCGAGAGAACGCCACCGGAAGCGCATAATTCGCGGGGAGGACGT